CGGATGGTCACTCTTCAAGACTGTTGAGTATCAACTTGACAACAATATGGTAGAGAGAGTTGATAGTCATGTTCCACAAGCTTCTACCATTCTCAATCTGGTCCAGTTTAGTGATGATCATGGGAGAAGTTCTGCTACCAACATGCTCTGGTACAAGGACACAGGAATCGGAGGAGCATCTCCTAATGAGTTCAGTGCTATCGCTGATATGGTGACAACAACCAATATCCCAAACGCAACACAACTTACTGGAGCAAATTTCAGACAACATTTTCAGACAGCAGATCTGAAGAATCCTGCTTACAATACCGGATTCAGAGCCCGACAACTCATCACGACTGGAAATAAGGATACAACCATGTTGCTTCCTTTATCATCACTGTTGGGTTTTTGTAAAGATATTGATACGGTATTCATGGGAGTCAAGCATACACTCAATCTTACTAGAGAATCAGCAGCCAACTACATTCACAGAGTAAATGGTGTTGACCCAGGAAGGTTTGACATCAAACATCTTTCTTTGTGGATACCAAAGGTGAGACCATCACTCCAACTAGCTAGTAAGATCGAAAGTAAGTTGGTTAAGTCCACCCTCCGAGATCTGTACTTCGAGCAAGTCCGGGTTTATAGAAATCAGTATGGATCAACGGAGACAAACCCATCCTGGAGAGTGACTACTCACAGCAATGAGGAACTCCCAACTCATATCTTCTTTGCCATCCAAGCAGCCAATCGGAGTGGGAATCAAGAACAGAACAACCAGGTTTTCGACAATGCTGACCTCAGAAGCTTATCTGTGTACATCAACAGCGATAGATTCCCAGAACGTGATTTGGAAATGAATTTCAGTCCAGCTACTCGGAATTATACAAGAGCATACATGCTTTTCCAAGAAGCCATCCAAAAATATGCTGACACAGACAGTGGAAGTCAGGTAAGTGTGGAGGATTTTGCGTCTTTGTACACCATCATTCATGTAGATGTGAGTAAGCATAAGGAGAAGCTGAGGAACAGCTCTGCTGATATCGAACTTCGATGGAGACTTGGAAAACCGTTTGAGTTTCCCACTGGTACAGCTGCTTCTTACCAAACCATCTGTTTGATTCTCTCCGAACGTCATCTCAAACTCAATGGTATGAATGGCAAAATGAGTGTTGTGGTGTAAGAAAAAAGATAATAGTAGATAGGAACCATGAATGAGTTGGAAAAGGACATTGAGATTTTATTAACAAAGGAACTAACACAGAAGAAAGGTGGTAGTATCGGTTCTGTGATCGGAAGATTGGTTGGGAAGATATCTCCACTTGTGATCAAGCATGCTCCCAACATCCTTGGTACACTTGGACTGGCTGGTATTTCTGGTGCTATTTCTGGAAGCACACACAGAGCCACAGCTGGTCGGGGGATTGGTCAGTATGTAGAATATGGATTGATGCTAACTCCGAACCAAAAGAAGAAACTTGGTAGTGCCCAGGATGGAATCACACTCCGGTTAACAAAAAATCAGTTATCCGGAAATGATATGCTTTTGCTCACAAACCGACAGGTTACCAAAATCAAAAAATCCAAGCAAAAAGGAGTAGGAATGGATCTCAAGTTATCCAGTACTCAACTCAAGAAGCAAGGAGGGTTTCTCGGAGCATTAGCAGCTGGATTATTAGCACCAGCTCTGGGAAAAATGATAGGTTTAGGAAACACCGGTGAAGGATTACAACTTCCTGGAACACGGAGGGGTAGAGGGGTAAAAAAAGACCAAAAAGGAAAGGGGTTGCGTCTACCAGGAACGTGAGACCACTGACCAACTTTGACATTGATGAAATTCTGAGATCTATTCCACATTTCAGAGGAACTTTCAGCAAAGATCAGCTTCCACAACCTATATCATCAAAGGATTGTTTGGTAATCAATCTCCAAGATTTTTTGGATGGTGGTGGTACTCACTGGGTTTGTGTGTTTGGTAATGAATATTTTGACAGCTTTGGCTTATCACCACCAGAGGAGGTAGTCGGGTGGAGGAAGAAGCACCATAAAAAATGTTGGTATAACTCATCAAAGATACAGATGAATGTTAGTGTCCTGTGTGGATACTACTGTATACATTTCATAGAAGAAAGAAACAAAGGCAGAAGTGCTCTTGATGTCTTGTTGGATTTCACTCAGCACCCCAGTCAAGAAAATGAGCAGTTGGTATTGTAAAAAAAAGGGAGGAAAAAAAAGAGATAAAAAAAGGAAAACACAAAAACCTTTTTTTCTTTCACTAGTTCCTTTTTCTTTTGGTATTCATTGTATAAGCATCATCAATTTTATCATTCACGGAGCTTGTGGAACATCGATTTTTCATGATGGGATTTGTGGTTTCTTGGATAAGACTTCTCACATTTCTCACAGACAACTCTTTCATTGGCATATTGTCTGATTTTCTTGTGATTATCTTGATACCACTCTGATACTGATCTTCCAGGCTTGTTTTTATTCACGGTATCCAGTTTTTCGATCCAGTATCGTTCTCTCCTCTTAAGCTCATCTTCATCAAACATTGACAGAGAGTCGATCTGGACAATTTCTACATGTCCGAGATCAAGCAGAATGAATGAGGTCATAAAACCCCGTTCACCTTTTTGGTAGGCTTTGTAGGCTGATCGGTGACAGTACATCCGATTTTTCAGTGGTAGAGAAGTGGAGCCAACGTATACCTGATCGGTGTGTTGGCTCACAAGTTTGTAAATCTTACAAGGGGAAGTCATCTTTGCTGATAGAAAATCTTTGGAATTCTCATCGGTATACCTCTACGTAACAGGGTTCATATAATCGTTTATGATGACAATTCGGTGAAGAAAATAAAGATAGATAGACAAACATGAAAATGTATCACATAATCTCCCGTGGGACAGTTGGGTTTGGATACTCTCTCTCCAACATTCCACATTTCCGTGAAAATATTCTGGGGGTGAGTTTGGAACTCACGAAAGATGATCAGGAGCATGACACGATCAACATCCACATATTTACCAATAATCCACAGATTTTTATGTCATTGACAAAGGCAGAGCTTGACAAAATGGATAATGGAAATTTCAGACTTGTTTGTGCTGAAAAGATTGATGAGAACATGGAAGATCACTGTGAAAATATGGGATTGTTGGTACATCTTTGTATCCATGAGAAATAAAAAAGTAGATAGATAGATAAAGATGAATGTTCATTGCCTATCGTGTAAGAAAAAGCAAGAGATGAGGGGAATACAAGGAGAAGTCACATCAACTGGTCAACCATATGTCAAGGGTAAATGCTCAGTATGTGGTCGATCGTGTTCACAATTTATCAAGAAATCGGAAATCAGAGAAGGTGGATTCCTGTCTGGTTTGTTCAAGATGATAGGTTTAGGAGTAAAAAAAAAAAATAGATAGGAAATGGACTGACGATCTGGCTGATGAGTTACACAAACCAAAGCGTGTGAATTTCACTAGGAGACAAGTGACTGTGAGTGAGATTGATGAAATCTGGTCCGCCGATCTCGTGGATATGACAGCTTTTCGTAAATACAATGATGAAATCAAATTTCTGCTTACTGTCATTGATCTGTTCAGCCGATATGCTTGGGTTGTTCCACTCGAATCCAAGAAAGGTGTTGACATCCAATCAGCATTTCGATCCATCGTGAAAACTAGCAGCAGGAAACCACGTAAGCTGTGGGTTGATCAGGGTACCGAGTTCTATAATCGAACGTTCAAACACTGGCTTGATGAGAATCAGATCACGATGTACAGTACTCACAACGAAGGAAAGGCTGTTGTAGTTGAGCGTTTCAACCGAACTCTGAAAACCAGGATGTGGAAATACTTCAGTGCTAACTCCACCAGCAGGTACATCGATGTCCTTCCACATTTGGTAGAGAAGTACAACACGACAAAACACAGAGGTGTTCGGATGACACCAACTGAGGCATCACGGGAGAAGAACGCTGATCTAATCCGTGACTCACTGGGTGAGAAATCTCCACTATCCAGGTCCACTAAATTCCAGATAGATGATCATGTCCGACTGGTGAAGCAGAAACGACATTTCGAGAAAGGATACACTCCGAACTGGACTGAGGAGGTATTCAGGATCACCGATATTCTTCCGACCAGACCCACTACGTACTCTGTCAAGGACCTCGATGGTGAACCCGTTGATGGGTCGTTCTATGAACAAGAGCTCCAGAAAACTACTCAAGAAATCTACCGGATCGAGAAAGTGCTCCGAAAGGACAACAAGAAGAAACAAGCCCTTGTGAGGTGGAAAGGCTACTCGGCAAGATTCGACAGCTGGGTGCCGTTTGATCAACTCAGCTGGTTGTGATCACGGATCACAGCAGCAGATTTGTTGGTAGAAAAAAAAAATCACGGGGTAGACCTAGTACTAACTGTCAACAGCACCGGATTCGGACTCTTGTCAGTACTAATAGACATAAACAACTCCATATGTGTTTGACCCCGATAGCCTGGTTGGTAAATCTACTACACACAGGATAAGAAATCGAGAGTCACGGGTTCGAATCCCGGAAACTGAGACCACATGCCACAATGCGCATGTCTGAATCCTGTTTCACAACAAGAAACTGAGACCACATGCCACAATGCGCATGTCTGAATCCTGTTTCACAACAAGAAACTGGGACCACATGCCACAATGCGCATGTCTGAATCCTGTTTCACAACAAGAAACTGAGACCACATGCCACAATGCGCATGTCTGAATCCTGTTTCACGAAACTGAGACCACATACCACAATGCGCATGTCTGAATCCTGTTTCACAACAAGAAAATGAGAACACATGCCAATGAGCGTGTCTGAATCCTGTTTCTGAGAACACATGCCAAAAAACACCAAACCAAAACCGAGACTCGAACCCACGATCTTGTGATTCGGATTCACGGTCAAATCTATCCTATATTAGAGGGTAGGGATTATACAGTAATGCTATCACTGATTGAAAAAATCCTTGTGTAGTGTAAAGATGGAATTTGACCTAAGCAAACTCACCATCACCTATGATGGGAAGAAACTCCAGACTGAGAAACAACTCCGGTGGATTCACAAAAAATTAGAGCAAAGAAAGAATCGGGAACTTCTCAAGAAACGGATTCGGAAGAATCGAAAGAGGAAACCGATTGTCACACCACCGTTCACAGTCTCAAAGTCAGTACCCAAAGGGATTCTGAAATCGTTCATCTATGAACCGAAAGAGAATCATCCAGATCTGTATATATTCTTTGATAGTATCAACATCCCACTGAGAACATTGATACAGAAAGAACTGGAAAATCTCAAGGGTGTGAAAGTCAGTCTGACATTACAAGTAGAAATGGAGAAAGGAGATGACACAACAACCACAGACACACCATACTTCAGGAGTGGAACAATGACAGTCACAGCATCTCATGAGATTGATGACGGTATTCGAACGGCACACTCACAAATTCATAGAAATATCGATAAGTGGATACAGAATGGATCAAACTGGCACATCAATCATATCGTCGGATTCTCCGTTGATGTAGCAGCATATCAGCCAATGAGAGGTAAATCCTACATTGATTTACCGAACGAGCTCAAGAAAAAGAAGGCAATCATCAATGTCAAGAATAAGGATGATAAATGTCTGATGTGGGCACTGCTCTCAGCTCTGTATCCAGCAAAGAAAAATAGTGACAGGGTAACTCAGTATACAGACTATAGCAACAAACTTGATCTGTTCGGAATCGATTTTCCAACACCACTGAGTCAAATTTCCAAAGTCGAGAAGCAAAACAGCCTAGCTATCAATGTTTTTGGGTATGAGGATAACGTGATCTATCCACTACTGCTGACAAAGAAAAGAGGTGAGAAAGTGATCAATCTTCTACTATACCAAAAAGAAGATCAGAATCACTACTGTTGGATCAAAGATTTCAGCAGATTGTGCTACGATCAGTCAAAGCATCAAGCCAGGAAATTCTTCTGTACAAGATGTCTCCAACCACACAACACAGAGAAATCCCTGAGCAATCATCAGGAGTATTGTGATAATGTCACTGGATTATCAGCACACATGGTACTACCAGAACCGGACGAAGATGGGAATCAACCAACACTGAAGTTCATTAATCATCACAAAATGCTACAATGTCCCTATGTAATCTATGCTGACACTGAGGCACTGATCAAGAAAATTGATGGAGTGAAAAGCCAACAAACCAGCCGGGATTCACAACATGTTCCTTGTGGTTTTGGTTACGTCGTGGTGCATTCTGACGGAGTGATGACAAGTCAGTGTTTCTACCGGGGTGTTGATGCCATGGATGTATTCTTTGATAAACTCAAAGCTGAGGAGAAGAAAATCCAATCAGCACTCAATAATCCAGCACCGATGGATCTCACTAAGGAACAAGAAGAATTGTTCAGAGAGACAGAAGACTGTTGGATTTGTAAAAAGAAACTTGGTGAGGACAGAGTCCGTGATCACGACCATATCACTGGTGATTTCCGCGGTGCCGCACACAACGACTGTAACATCAAACTCAGAATTTATCCATACAAGCAGCACATCCCTGTGGTTTTTCACAACCTGAAAGGCTATGACAGTCATCATCTCATCGGAGCAATCGGCAAGACAGATGTTGAGACCGTCACATACACGGATAAGGATGGTGTGTGTAAGAGTAAAACTGTGGGTGAGATATCAGTCATTCCCAACAACATGGAGAAATTCATCTCATTCACATGGAGACAGTTCCGGTTCATCGACAGCTGCCAGTTTCTCAATGCGTCACTCGATAGACTGGTGAAAACGACACCAGATGAGTCATTCACTTTCACCAAGACGTTGCCAAACCATCAGCTGTTGATGAGGAAAGGAGTATACCCCTATGAGTACATGAACAGCTTCTCCAGGTTCGATGAGACTCAGCTACCAGCACAGAGTAAGTTCTATTCTTCTCTGTCTGATGAGGGGGTGAGTGACGATGACTACAAACATGCTGAGACAATGTGGATGAAATTCGACTGTCAGACTCTTGGTGATTATCACGACTTGTATCTCAAGACCGACGTGTTTCTCTTGGCTGACATCTTTGAGAATTTCAGAGTAGAAGCTGTCAGAACGTATCAGCTGGATCCAGCAAATTACTACACTCTGCCTGGATTTGCCTGGGATGCTCTGTTGATGTACTCAGGTGTGTCCTTGGAATTACTAACAGACTATGATCAGCATTTGTTTGTAGAATCAGGAATGAGAGGCGGTGTGTCGATGGTCTCACAACGATATGCTGCTGCTAATAATCACTATCAGGAGAAATTTGATGTTGATCAGCCATCGTCATTTATCCAGTATCTCGATGCCAACAATCTCTATGGTTGGGCAATGTCACAGCATCTCCCAGTGTCTGATTTTCGGTGGGAGAAACCATCAGAGAAACTCCTGAACAAGATACTGAACACTCAAGATGATTCCTCATCGGGGTATATCGTCGAGTGTGATCTGGATTATCCACACGAACTTCATGAGGAGCACAACGATTATCCCGTTGCTCCGGAACGTCTTTCCGTCAATGAGGATATGTTATCTCCATACCAGCAGGAGCTTGTTGATAAACTCAATTCTTCAGGAGTAGATGCTCTCAAACTTGTACCAAACTTGAGGGACAAGACAAAGTACGTTCTCCATTACCGAAACTTGAAACTCTACACTCAGCTCGGACTACGTTGTGTCAAAATTCATCGTGCTCTGAAATTTACTCAGACACCGTGGATGAGAAACTACATCGAGAAGAATACAGACCTCCGGAAGAAGGCACAGGATGATTTCTCTAAGGACTTCTATAAACTGATGAACAATGCGGTGTTCGGGAAAACTATGGAGAACGTTCGGAGGAGAGTCAACATAAAATTGCTGAGAAGTCGTGAGGAGAAAAAAATCAAACAGCTTGTTGCCAAACCAACGTACAACCGCCATGTGATCTTCAACGATGACCTGGTCGGGGTACAAAGCAACAGGACAAAGGTCGTCCTCAACAAGCCCATATATGTTGGGATGTCGATTTTGGATCTCTCAAAGACACTCATGTATGACTTTTACTACAATCACCTGAAAGTGATGTATGGCTCTGATGTGAGACTCTTGTACACCGATACAGACAGCTTGGTTCTTCATTTCTTTACTGATGATCTGTTTGATGACATGAGTGAGTTTCTTGATAAGTATGATACAAGCAATTATGATCAATCACATCCGTTATATTCCGAGAAAAACAAGAAAGTTGTTGGCCTGTTCAAAGATGAACTCGGTGGGAAACTGATCACTGAGTTTGTAGGACTTCGCTCCAAGATGTACAGTTACTCTGGTGAGGAAAGTGGAAAAAGAGGAAAGGGGGTGAAAACAGCAGTGCTCAAGAAAACTATCACACATGATGATTTCCGAAATTGTCTCTTGGATCAATCCGTTTTCCATCGAGAAATGACAACACTCCGGAGTCATAGTCACGTTATTTTCGGAGAAACGGTTAATAAGATAGCCTTATCACCATTGGACACAAAACGATACATCACAGAAGATGGATGTAGCACGTTAGCGTTCGGGCACCATGAAATACCAAGATATCTGGCTGAGGAGGGGTTTGATAGCAGCATTTCATTCATGAGTTATGCTCCGGATATGATGAAGCAGTTTGTCCAGTGATCATGAGAAAGAAAAAAAAGATATATGTACCACTGCATGCCGAATATGGCCCGACTCATTAAGGCCCACAACAAGAGAGTGTTGCACCCACCAGCACCGGACAAGGACTGCAACTGCAGGATCAAGAACTCGTGTCCACTCGAAGGAAAGTGCCAGGCGGACAACGTCATCTACCAGGCCATGGTGTCGGACGACACTCGTAACGCCAAGGTCTATACCGGCATGTCTGCGCCGCCTTTCAAAGCTCGCTACTCCAACCATTTGACTACGCTCAGGCATGACCGCTATGAGAATTCCACCGAGTTGTCAAAGCATGTTTGGTCGATGAAGCGGGACAACAGACAGTACGTCATTGACTGGAAGATCCGCGACAGGGCCACCTCGTTCGATAACACGTCCAAGAGATGTGGCCTCTGCACTACCGAGAAGTATCACATCCTCGAAACCGACGCCCGCACAAGGCTGAACAAGCGAAATGAGATTGTGTCAAAATGCAGGCACGAAAGCAAGTATGACCTATCAAATTTTGTGCCCATCACATAAGGACAGTGATTATTCTATGGCCTTGGTATCGCCTCTATATCTGTTACCTGGCATGGCACCACTCTGCGCTATCACCTTTCCCTAGGCACTCTGTGCAATGCATCATGAAAAATGGGCTGGTCACACCCCGCAATGTCATCACCCTCATCTAGCACCTAGGCAACCTGTAAATGCATCATGAAAAATGGACTTGTCACATCCGGGACCCGACATAATGACATTTTTCACACTCCATAATGACGGAGTTCACACCTTCTGAGTATATAACCAGTGTATCATACTTTGTTTGATCATCCATCTGATGATCCGTTGCTTGAACGGTGAAACAGTGTGTAATGGAATTTGATCTCTGACGTTTTTTCCGCTTGTGTGTGAGTATTTTATTAAAACGAAAATGTCTTTTCAAGTGTGCAATGGAACTGATCGGGACTTGCTTGAATGTGACGCATACGCTAAAAAGCAACTTTTTACTTGTACGTAGTGTGCAAGGGGCCTTACTCTTATCCACAGTGATGGTAAATCTATCCTTCTTCGATCAATCCACATCTGACTTGAATCATACTGGCAATTCACACCAATCAAGAGGGCCCTCGGCCATTCGGTTGATATCATGGGGAGCGCTGGTGCCGGTGATGGGATCCCTAACAATAGTCCTTATGCACATTGTACAGATGTACGAAGTTCTGTACTATGGCCGTAGGTGTGTACATACCCGGTTGGGTGTTCATTGTGTGCTATACATGCGCGTTTGACCCATTTAGCCTCACAATTCATGGCAAACGATCACTTTTCAAGCCTTCTTCACTTTGGGATTGAACTAACGACTAGCTAGATCTCTGCCGGAAAAAGATTTCGTATGAAATGCCTTCATGGCCCATTTCATAGTGGAAATAGCAGTAAACACAATAGGGTCCTGCACATTCAACACCCAACCGGGTCTACGGGATTCTACAAGATTATACGGGATTTCGTGCATCTGTACAATGTGCATAAGGCCTATACCCGGGCTGATGGCCGTGTTGGGGCTTCCGTCACCGCGTTGTCTGGGTATTCCGCTCCGCAGCCGCCTGGTGGCCGCTCAGGGATGGCTTCTTCTACCATCGATTTACCTATCCCCAGTGTGAGAGGTGCGCGCCCTGATGGTGAAGCACCATGTTCACGGACGGCTTCTGTATCAGTTTCCCCTAGGTTGTGGTCTGATTCTTGCGCGCCACATGAGCTATCTGGCAGTGCCTGCGCCTTGACTAGCGTTGAATGTCCCTGCCAGCCTCTGGGTGTTGACTTGCCACATCGTGAAGACCCTGCTAAGGGGTCGGCTAGTGCACCTGTCTCGACACCCCCTGTTGGGGAACATCCTTCAGGTGTACCACCCGATTATGTCGTCCGCGCCTCTGTATCGGTTTCCCCCAGGATAGAGAAGGCCCTGCCAAGGGGTAGGGTCATGCACCTGTCTCAACGCCCCTGGCGGAGCAACACCCTCCAGTCATACCATCCGATACTGTCATCCGTGCCTATAACAAGGTCATTGGTTGGCAACAAAACCTTTTTGACCTGCCTAATGGGGTCTCCGGCAAGACTATTGTTCGGGTGCTCACTACGGAACTACGAAAATTCAATATTATTTTCTCAGGGAGTTCATGTTGATTCCTTGTACAGGTTCTTCATTTTACCCTCTTTATTTCTACAACGCGTAGGGCGTGCCATGGCAGCCAAGGATTGCGGCAAACACTTCGAGCGCCGTTGTGGGTTATGGAAAGATGGAAATCTTACCGAGCTCCTCGATGAGGGCAACACGATCCAATGTGGCTTAACGGGTAGGACTGGTCATGGGGGTCGTTTTGATGATGATCAACCACGCCAGTTTGGCAAACTTATGAACCAGGGCAGAGTTACGATGGCCATGCGTATGCTCAGCTCTTGCAGGATGGAGCAGTCTGTTACGCCGGTTCTTGCTATGGATGATGTGGTGCCCGTGGGTGGCACTGATTACGTGGTTGGTGATGTCCTGCGTCAGAAACACCCTGTGCCTGCTGTGCCTAGTCCGGATGTGTTGCTTCCCGGACCACAGGGCCATGTGACTAAAATTGACTATGCCTGTATTAATTAATATTGACTTGATACAGAAAAACTTCCTTGGCGGTCCGTGGATCGGCGGGCCCGTCTGGTTTGGACTCTGGCACTTGGCGCAGAATGTGTATGTGCTATAAGGGTGCATCGACTGACTTATGTGATTCCATAGCCATTTTATGGGTATGATATTTACAGTCCAATTACCGGAAGGGTCGTTGGCACCCTATGTTGCCTGCTGTCTCATTGCGCTTAACACAAATCCTGTAGTTAGACCTATCGGGGTGGGTAAGGTACTTCGCCGAACTAGTTCAAAGGCCTTGTGTGTAATGAGGTCCGATATTATGGAGTTGTGTGGCGTTGAACAGGCCTCTACCAGGATCCCAACGCGCCTTGGAGTCGATCCATCAGGCAATGGAAATTGCTTTTCAGCATGCCAAAACGGAGGCTTTGTTGTTGGTGGATGCCCAGAATGCATTCAATAGCCTCAATCGATGCGCCGTCCTTCACAACATTGCCAGGGTGTGCCCTCCACTATCTCAAATAACTACGAATACCTACTAATTTCCAGCAACGCTGCATCTGGATACAAGAGCTGAACGTTCAAATAGAATTTGAAGCTGTTGAGCCTCATGCTGCGATGACACCTGGTTTAAGGAGGCTCCAACCTTCTGCGCTGCGCAGCCGGTCTGGCGCTCTGTTTTTTGCAGGCAAAAGTCTTGTTTTTGCCGATAAGTGCGAAAAGTTGGGAAATTCCCATCTCAACTTACTAAAATTTGAACTCCGCGATCGACAGTCTTATCAGGGAATATTGTTTCATTCTTCACCTGCAGTCTTCCCTGGGCCCCATCGAGGTTCCTGTTGTTTTTTCTTCCATTGTGTCAGTGGGTATCAGGGCATGTTTTCAAAAGCATCGCTGGTGTGAGCAAGAAGTTGACTTCACAGCTCGATTTCTCGAGATCCTGAACAATTTTGCTTGACGAAAAAATGACCAAGGAGAACGGAGCCAAGCGTCTCGATGGCTGTGTAACACCAGGGACCAAAACCTACTGTAAGCGCGTTTTGGAGAGAGAGACTGAAGTGGGTGCACAGACGCTGGTAAGTGGATCCACTTCTAATTCTCAAGTGGCGAAATATATTGCTACGCTGAAAACATTGCAGTCTTGAGTGAGTGGTAAATCGTTGGTGAGCTACTGCTCAGTGACTTGGGCTATTTACGAAAGCTGTGACCTGTCAGCTGCCAACGTCGCCAGCAGTAAGTCATCACCTGCGTCCACTTGAATAAAATGCAGCACTGAAAATTGAGTATGTTGTTTTGCAGTGTACTATTCTCTATTGTCAGAGTGTGAAGTATTTTTGTAAATGTTGTGTTGTAAAGCACCAGTGATTTGAAAATATTCCTACACTACTCGCACCAGTTCTATTATGATGAATGCATGCACCTGTACCCATAAGCACTATGTGCATGCACATACGCAGGCACGCGTGTGAGCCTACATATTGTGTGTGTGCGCGCGCGCGCAGTGCATGTTGTGTGTGTGTGCGCGCGCGCGCACGTGTGCACAAGTGCATAGACAGCAGAATATGGTAACTAAGCTCAAGAGTATGCATTTGCATGTGGGTGTATGCTATTGCGGGTGCGCGTATATGACGTACATGTATTTGTGTGTGCAAGGGGTACTTGTTTGTGAGCATGTGCATGGAAGCGTACATGTATGTATCAATGTGTGCAATGCGCATGCACCCACATACACTTGTGGTTGTTCCATGTTATTGGGAATAGTGTTATGATTATACCTAATGGGTGTTACAATTACTAGCAGTCGTTCATTGCCAATATTGAGTTGAACCTGCATCTACATTGTACATGTACTACAAACATGAAACTGCCCCCCCCCCCCCGCCCCAGAATATAATAATTGTTATCCTCCTCAAGCTCTTTGCATGTTGCTTTATGAGAAATACTAGGAGTGAAATATTGCAAGAGTTGTGATGCAAAGCTGGTCTGAACTGCGCTCAGGGTCAGTAGGCCTCGGCCTGGACCATGAATAACGTTGTGCATGGATCATGCCAATATCCAGATCAAGGGCTAAAAAGCCCAGGAACCATGGCCTCATCTAGTCTCCATGTATACTATAACAATCTGGGGGACCATTCAATGCTTTTGACACAAAAAATTGGAGTAATACCACAAGGAATGCATAGAATGATCACCTTACCTGAAATATAACAATTCCAAGAATGGTGGAAAATCGGCCAATTTTCTGTCCTATTTTTATTTGTGGAGGTCTAAAATGCACGGTAACCCCCCTAAAAGTATATATTTCTAGTTTCTATGAAGTATGAGGATCCCAAAAATAAAATAAAAAGGGCATGTCCATGAAGAAAAT